TTCAGACACAAGGTCTTTTTACCTAAATAGTCTGCGACTGCGCTGATTTCATGAATTCATTGATTTATAGAATATTCTTATAAAAACATAAGTGTCATTAACAATCTGCTAAAAAATGGATGCAGTGCACAAAAATTATAGAAGTGCACAAACACACGGTCCAATATACAGACTACCGATCAACAAATATGAAAACCTTTATTTATTGATATGGTTGAGGTATATCTTAAAATACATATCTATGGGTGAAGAGAGAAGCAATAACAAACAAACAAAAAAAGAAAATCAGTCTAATGTGTCCAAATTTCACTGACGACCAGATGGAAGCTGCTTCTTATTCACTTTATGTAGTTCTGCTTGAGTCATTAAAGCCATTAATGTTCAAAACATAAATAAAAAGATATCTTCAGTTGCATCGAACCGCTGCATTAAAAATACTTTCTCATTAAAAAAAAACAAAAGACATCCGGTTGGCTTTTCAGAAATCCAGCCACTCAGCCATGTAAACACAGTTAGACGGAGAGATCTCGCACCCTTCATGACAGTCATCAAACACCTACAGAGCAGAGAGTTACTACATGTGGTTAACTTAGCACATTAAAGGCATAGTTCACCCAAAAATGATCCAAGATGGCCTGAGGGTCTGTTCCGATAAAGAAACAAACTCATCTACAATGCTAAATCGCCTTAAGCAATACCCCAATATTGATTTATATCATGCAGCCCTACTTGTGTACTAAAAGCTTACCGGCCTAAAGTCCACATGGTGTTTTGACCAGGCCAGTGGGCTGAATTATGGGATTCACGCCCCTGTAGAGCTTCATCTGTCCATCTACACTCCCCACAGTCCCCTCTTTAGCAGCGATTATGGTCATCTCCACCTTGCCGTCAAAGATCAATGTGTTCAGAATGGTCTCAATGTCCTCCATGGACAAATCCACCTGCACACAGGAATATCACAACATATTAAATCTATTCAGTTCATGTTTAAAAAATCTTGAAGTGATAAAGGTACAGTTCCCCCCCCCCCCCAAACAAAATGCTGAAAATATACTCAATCTTTAGGCCAGGGCTTCACAAACTTGGTCCTGGAGGGCCGGTGTCCTGCAGAGTTTAGCGCCAACTTGCCTCAACACACCTGCCTTTAAGTTTATAGTATGCCTAGTAAGAGCTTGATTAGCTGGTTCAGGAGTGTTTAATTGGCGTTGGAGCTAAACTCTTCAGGACACCGGCCCTCCAGGACCGAGTTTGGACACCCCTGCTTTAGGCCACTCAAGATATAGATGAGTTTGTTTCTTCATCAGAACAGCTTTGGAGAAAATCAGCATTGCATTATTTGTTTCACCCTCTGCAGTGAATGGGTGCCGTCAGAATGAACGTCCAAACAGCTGGTAAAAACATCACAAGTAATCCACACGACATCAATTAACATCTTGTGAAGCCAAATGCTGTTTTTTTTAAGAAACAAATCCATCAAGGCATTTTAAACCGTCGCTTCCGGTTAATTATTAAATTAATATAATATTAATATATTAATGAATTATTATATCCGTAATAACCCTGCCTCCAGTGAAACAGTCCATCCCTCTTGTGTAAAAGTCCCTGTTGTCCTTCGTACATCAAAATCCACCAACATATTTGCTTAGAACTGTTTTGAACTGGTGCTCGGTCTGCACATATTTCTCTCCTGATTCAGACAAAACTAATTTTCCACTGGAGAAAGCATTTTATGGATAGAGGACTCATTTTAGCTGGAAGGTAAAACGTCTGCATGGTGGATTTGTTTCTAACAAACATGCAGCTTTTCACTTCACAAGACATTAAGAGATGGACTGGAGTGGTGTGGATTGCTTGTGGATTATTGTGATGTTTTTTATCAGATGTTTGGACTCTCATTCTGACGACACCCATTCACTGCAGAGGATCCATTAGTGAGCAAGTGATGAAATGCTACATTTCTCCAAATCTGTTCCAATGAAAAAACAAACTCATTTACATCTTGGATGGTCTGAGGGTGAGTACACTGTAAAAAAAAATCTGTGACATTTACGGTAAAATACCGGCAGCTGTGGTTGCCAGAACTTCACCGTTAAAAAATATGGTAGAAACATTTTAGGTCTTACAGACTTAACTTAAATTCACAATAAAAAAAACGTATTTCATTGACTGATGTAATGTTAATAAACCAGCATATTGAAGTACTAATATCTGTTTTAAACCATTGAAATGCTGATAACCACCAAAAACAGGTGGTGATGAGAAAGTCACATGATGAATCAAAGCTCATCACAATCAGCTCTTCCATAAGCTGAGAAGGGAAATACTAATATATATACATAGAAGGTGCACAGTGTCATTCACACAAACACTAAACACCATCATGGTAACACATACGATACTGAAATAATGCAATAAACATTCATTTAACAACATTAGATGTAAGATAAAACACTAATGTACACAACTGATAAGGAAAAACTAAGAAGAAACAGTTATTTCAATGAAAAATATGAAGTGTCATGCAGGGAATTTTGGGAGTGTCAATTTACAGTATTTCACTGTAAATTATACAATGAGACTTTTTCTTTTTCACTGCCAAAAACCGGTTGAATGTAATTACAGTTATTCACCGTATATAGTATGGAAACTTACTGATAACCAATTAACAGGTTTTTATTGTAGCATTTTTACAGTCTTTTACTGTTAAAATCACAATCATTTTTTACAGTGTACATTTTCAGCATATTTTCATTTTTGCCTGAACTATTCTATATAGATATCATTCACACGCACTTTGCTGATGCCAAGCTCACAGATGTACTTCCACACTTCATGAGAGTTGGCAAATGAGCTGTTTCTTTGCACCATGGGGCTCTGCTTACTGTCTCTCGCAGCTTCAGCCTGAAAATATACACATTTCTATTAAATTCAAAGTCTTTAATCTTCAAGATCATAAAGAAGCTGCTGACACAGCTCTTTTATCCTTTACAGAGGGAAAAAAATAAGACCAAACTCAACTACATTTCCCAGCATTCTCTGCCGCAGCAAAATGGCTACATCATGTTGAAGCAGCGATAAAAAGCTCGCTGTTTTTGTCAGTTAGCGCCAAAGAGAAATAAATTGTCCATAGAATAAATGTAATTCATACCAAAACCATATGAACGCACGCGACGTAATTGACGTAATACGCTTACGGAACTTGTACGTGAAGTCTTGAATGCAGCAAAATATACATTGGGCAGACTTATAAATACATAATGTTGTAAGTTAATGTATAGACCCATACGCTATTAAAAAAACAAAACCTTCTTATCATTGAAAACATTCACATATTACAACCACGATGCTCATCTACTGGATCGGAGATGGGTCCGTTTTTCCGTAAACGTCGGTTTGTAAATACTTGCAATACACAAAAAAGACGGAGTAGCTTTGATAGTAACTTTTTATTAATTCTAAATCCATCCACACGTTATCATATGTTGTTAACAGGCCATGCATGAGGATGTTAAACCTGCGCTCAACTCATTCTCGATATCTACAGGGTCCGTGGACTCTTTCTTGACTTTATAACTTCTGTCATTGTTCATTAGAAAGGAGTTACTTGATAATAAAGTGAAATGTCATCATTAATAATTGCACATTCAAAGATACAGAATGCTGTTTCGAATTCCAGTCTGC